TTTGTGAAGATCCTTTCTTCTGCTTCTACCTCCTTTGAGAAGAAAAAGCTGTGCCCAGGCTTTCTGAAGCACACTGGAAAAGTTTGCCAATTGCTCCAAATGAAGGGCAAAACAATTTACACCATGTAATAAGAGTTACTCGTGAGTGTTTCTGAACAAAGGTTGTCTTTTTCTTGATCAGAAATGCAGCCAGACTGAATTTTGAAATGTCATTTATTTCTAATTTATTAGTGGTTGTTCTGATGGGAAACATGAAAAAGTAAGGGCATAATATAAATTGATTCTTTTTCTTTTAAGATTACTTGGGGTTTTAATCCAAGCCAACCATTGAGTGCAAAAGGAAATTGTAAAAACCAGCTGGAATGAACATAATAATTTAATTCAATTTCTTCTGTAATTTATACAAATCACAGAATCAAAAAATATTTCTTAGATAAACTCAGCATTTAAGATGTTTTCAGAAAAGATTAATCTCTTGACTGAGTGCTAATGTACACAGCTACAGAGTTCATAAATCAAAATTGTTGGCAAGAACATTAACATTTTTAGCTGAGCATTTTAGCAATTAAAATTGTCCAATCAAGGAAACATGTTAAGAAAGCACATGAGAAATAATAACTGTAGTGCTGACAGGCCTATTAACTCAGTGTTTTATTGTGAGTGTAGATACAAGCACTATCTTCCTTCCCAATGCCTGTATCAGGAAATATTTTCTTGATCCCTTTCAGCATCAATTTTTTCCTTTGTTGCAGTCATTCTGGTTCATCCATTTATACTGCAAGGCTTGACATCTGCCTTAGGAAAATGGAATCAGTGAAGGAAAAATACATGGAAGCAGACATGGTTATCCAGGAAGAAAATGTGATTATTGTTTAGCCCAAGTTGTCTTTCTGGCTGCTGTTCTTGCTTTAAGCTGTTTGACATGGCCAGTTCTGACTTGTGGTAACTTCCCGTTAAGTTCAGAGTAATTGTGCTTCTGTTCCAACCAACTGAAGCATGACATATTTTTTTAGCACACAATATGGATATCTGAAATATTATCTCATTCTTCATGGAATCATAGAATCATTTGGTTTGGAAAGGACTTTAAAAAGTCATATAGACCAACTGCCTTGGAATGAGCAGGGTCATCTTCAGATCAGGTTGCTCAGAGCCCTGTCCAATCTGGCTTTGAATGTTTCCAGGGACAGAACATCTGCCACCTCTCTGGGCAGCTTGTTCTAGTGTTTTGCTACTCTCATGGTAAAAAATTTGATACTTAATAACTAGTCTAAATCTACCTTTTAGTTTTAAAACCATTCCTACTTGTCCTATTGCAACAGGCCCTGCTAAAACCTGTGCTCCCAGCTTTCTTACAAGGCCCCTTTGAGTAGCAAAAATCCACAGTAAGGTCTCCCTGGAGTCTTCAGGCTGAACAACTGCAACTCTCTCAGCCTTTCTTCAGAGTAATGGAACATCTCAACTATTATGAGTTTTGTAGCCTTTTTCTGGATCTGCTCCAACAGTCTTTCCTGTGCTGGGGACCCCAAAGCTGGACTGAGTACTCCAGATGCGGTCTCACAAGAGCAGAGTGTGCAGAATCACCCCCCTCAGTCTGCTGGCCGTACAGCTTCTGATGCAGCTCAGGTTGACTTTCTAGGCTGTCCAGCTTTTTATCTTCCAGCACCCCAAAGTCCTTCTCCACAGGGCTGCCCTCAGTCCCTTCATCTCCCAGCCTGAGCTGATACTGCAGGTAGCCCTGACCCAGGTGCAGCACCTTGCGCTTGGCCTTGTTGAACGCCATGAGGTTCCCAGTTTGTCCAGGTGTGGATGGCATCCCATCCTCCAGGTGTGTCAGGCACACCACTCGGCTTAGTGTCACTTGCAGACCTGCTGAGGGTGCACTCAGTCCCTTCATCTGTTTTGTTATTGAAAATACTAAATAACACTGGACCCAGTATGGGCCCTTGAGGGACATCACTCGTCATTGTTGTCCACTGGGACTCTGAGCTGTTGACCACTACCGTGTAGTTGGCCACATCCAACCAATTCCTTATCCATCTAACAGTCCACTCATGGAATCAATCTCTCTTTAGTTTAGAGACAAGGATGTTGTGAGCGACTGTGTCAAAAGCCTTACAGAAATCCAGAGAGGTGACATCAATTGTCATGCCCCTGTCCACTAATGTAGTCACTCTATCATGGAAAGTCATTAGGTATGTCAGGCAGGAATTTTTGCTGGTGAAGCTGCGCTTCCTCAAATCACCTTCCTGTCCACTGTGTGCCATAAGAAGCCATATAACTTCATTTATATGGTCTTACTTTTCTCATTTGAATGGTTATGAATCAAGATTAGATGAAGATTTTGGGACAGTGGCCATTTGTAACCATGACAATAATACAGAAATTAAAAGCTTGACCTGCAGCATTACTGAATGAAAGGAGGTGTGCATGGAAATGGAACAAGATGGTGTCTTTTGTTGATGTTGCAGACCTCTTCAAGGAGGTGGCAGGCCCTACAGAAATGTGTGACCAGAGGCAACTGGGCCTTCTGCTTCACGATGCCATCCAGATCCCACGACAGCTTGGGGAAGTGGCAGCCTTCGGTGGCAGCAACATTGAGCCCAGTGTGCGCAGCTGCTTCCAGCAGGTAAGATAAAGACCTCCATGTGAAGAACAAAACCAAACCAAACTCTTTTAACTTTACAGATTCACTTATACGTGCTAATGTAAAAAGAAAAGAGGAAAATAAAAACATCCGCTGAATTTTGAACAGAAATGAATATGCTCCTGCAACTAAGTATGGGAAATTCATGTGACAATGCAGCTGGGAAAGATCAAACAGATTTTGTTTCACCAAAAGAATATATAAATCTCCATGATTCTGATAGTGTTTGCAACTCTAAAAGCTGTTAAAAATTTTGCAGTGGCCAATTATCCTGCTTTGCATTGTTCAAAGCAACCTGATGCTGTGAGAACAACATGCTTTTTCCAGCTGGAATGAGACATGATCTCAACAGAGCAAGAAAATGATATTGATAGTAATTTTTGACCTTGTGCACCAGGAAATTATTTAGCATTATGTTGCTGACAAAAGACCATGCAGTTGCATGAAACTTCAAGTGTAGTCTTTTTTATATTGTGAGCCTTTATGGAGTAGATCAGAACATGGAATAAAGCTCTTGCAGCCTGCTGTGAAGCTCCACATTACATGCAGGGGGTTAATGAGGCTGCAAGGAGTGTCTGTCTGTTTAAAGATGAGAATTAAAAACAGAATGTTGTAATGGAATACAACTAACTAACTCTGACTTTCAAGGATGCCTAAGGCTCCAAATGTTAGGTAGTGATAGCCATACTGTTTCAGTGCATTATTTTTGTGAAAGCAGCTGATCTGAGCATTGTCAGAAATAGTATATGGATTAAAAATACACAATGGCTTACATAAAATTACTGATTTGGATATTTCTTATTTTTTTGAATTGAACATTAAAGATTTTAGTGACCTTTCAGAGGATTTTATTTTGCCGTTCTTTCATAGAGATTTCTACATTTTTTTCCAGTTCTTTGAAAAATGCAATTATGCTGGCTTTTTTCCAGAACTATTAGATTCATTTCTGGATTCAAGCAATTAGGATTGGAAGTGTGTTTGTCCAGGTCATGAATAGTTTGGTAGATATGTATGGAAGTTGGTTTGACCAGTTAAAGCTTCCCCTGATGTTTTAACATTGCTCCTTCAGACAATAAGGAATGGTGCTTGACTTATCTATCACTGGCTTTGAGTGGTTTGAGTCATAATGAAATAAATTTTTCGTTTATTATTCACAGACTTTCTGTGTGACAGAAGAATGACCTTTATGTCTCTCGAGGATCTAACCCATCTCCCATGCTATTCAATTATGGGTGGGGGGTGTATTAGCAAGATACTCTTTAAATACTTGATGTATTATTACAATTATACTGATAATGAGGTTGCAATCCCTCATCTCACAGGAGTACTTCAATTTCAGTCCCTGGTTAGGAGAGCATAGAGAAAATGTGCAGCTGCATGTCAGTTATCTCAGCCCAGTGAAAACAAGTATTTTGTTTGTGAGAAAGAAATACTTTTTCTTTCATGCTTCTCCTTCTTATTGCAAAAAATGAACTTGGACCATGAGTAGGCTAAGAAGCTTTCATGTGTTTCCATTTAAGAAAAACTTTTCATTTTAAGTTTTATTTTATTACTTCCATTGAGCTCAGAAATATTAAGCTCTTTTGTTATTGCTGAAAAAGTTGATGAATACAATAACTTTGTAGCTAGGCTTCTCTGGTGGTTATAACTTACAGAAAATGTGGAAGTGTGTCTGCTTGCTTTTTGAAACAATCATGTTAATACATTAACTCTGATGCTTGCAGTGACTGGCTATAAATGGCAGATTCCTTTATTGTTTTTTGCTTGTTTGTTTATTTTGTGTGTGTGTGCGCATTATGTTTAATGTGCTAACTAGAAAGAACACTTGGGCTTAGAACACAATAAAAAATTGATGAGTCTTGGGGCAATCAGTACACGCATGCAAACATTACTGACTTCTAGCATTTTGTCATCAATCTTAACTCAGAACATAACCATGTCTTCAGTATGTCTGAACTGCAGAGTTTGCTCATACTTACTTTTCAAGTCCTTTCAATTAAAAGACAGCTTTACAGTCTGTTACTTCTGTACTATGTCCTCTATCTTTCTTACCATCTGTCCACTCTATCACAGCTGTTTAGTCTTCTAAAGTCTTACTGACTTAACTTGTTTTCTTTATTTTAATTTTCATTGAGATTATTTCTTGTGTCCTGTAAATGGTTTTGGATGTCATGGAAAGAATTCATGCAGGTTGTTGGGGTCTTTTTTCCATAGAATTCTAAGGAAAATTTACTTGTGGATTTTTTGGAAAATCAACTTGTCTGTTGTTTTGTTTTGTTGTTGTTTTTTTTTTTTTTTTTTTTAATTTGGATGTGGTTTTTTTTCTGTCCACAGAACCACAATAAACCAGAAATAACTGTAAAGCAATTCATAGACTGGATGCGCTTGGAGCCACAGTCTATGGTGTGGTTACCAGTTCTACACCGTGTGGCAGCTGCAGAAACAGCAAAACATCAGGCCAAGTGCAACATCTGTAAGGAGTGTCCAATTGTTGGATTTAGGTAAGAGGAGAGGTGTTAGGTGCAATGTTTCTCTTAAAATATTCAGATTTTGAAGACTTCCAACAAGTGAAGTTTTTCCCTGTCTGTTTTTCCACTGTTTTCCTTCTTTAAGATGGGATTTGTCACCCATGGTAAGGCCACAGTGTCACCTGAGCCAGTGCAGTTCTGGCTCATGCAATGCCACTGTTAGACACCCAGTGGTCCTGTGGCTGTCAGAGGCACAGGGTGGATTGGTGGATCCAAGAGATAGCAAATGAAGTATAAGCACACCTCATGTGTTCTGTAAGCATGAGATCAAAAGATGATCAGTAAGAAAAAATATGGACTCTCTCTCTGCTCTCCTGCATAAGGCTTTGGAAACTAACTTATTCCAGGCAGTATAAAACACCCTTCAACATCAATCTTTCCTTGCTTAAAAGAAACACTGATAAACTGCTGTGATGAGACTTGCAAAGTCCCTGTCTATGTCCCTGAACATAACCTAACTATTGTCTTTTCAAAAAAAGGTGTAAATTCTAAAAGAAAATGTTACATGGGGAATATTCTCCATATTATTCTCCTAAACTGTAGTTGGTACCCTTAGTAAGTATTTCTGTGACTAAGATGCATTTGTAAATTGATTGCTCCAGTGTATAAAGTGATGCAACCCCTATCTCCAAATTCTTCAGTAGAGGCTAGAGCTAGAGGTAAGCATAACTGGCTTTTTCTGCTACTGTGGTCATGGAGTCTGATGTATTATCTAGGAAAAATATAAAGCAGTCTATCATGTAATTGCTTCTAAGATTTTTGTTTAGGTATTCAGTCAGGGGAGTAACTTTTGATCATCATTTCTGTTCTCCATCTTACTGTTATTTTAGAGGATAATAATATCAATCCTGAGGTCAGATTCATCTTGCCTAGTTTTTGGAATTCTGGCTTTAGTAAATCTTACAGGATTGTGCTAGCAACCCTCTTTTTCTTTTTTTAATTATAAATATAGGTATTTGAGTATTTGCAAAAGCAATAAGCCAATCAAACTTTGTTGCCTGTCTTAAAGGGGGATCAAATTCTCTAAGTGTTTCTGTCTTTATTATTGTTTGAAGAAGCATAGGATGGCAAAGCTCTAGCTCAGCTATGTTATAGTTGTCTAAGTTGTCCTATGTGTAGGAGGGCAAGGAGACAGAAAATAATAAAAAGATCCATTCAGAATGGGCCATTCTAAATAATTTCTACAATGAAGCTAGAGATCTGCAACAACAAAAGCATCTAGTGTCTTAGCAGAAGGTAAATGTAGCCATTTAATGCACTGGCTCTGAGAAAAGATTATAAACAAGTTGGATCAGCATCTTTTAAAGTGAACCTTTACATTTATAGACACATATTGTCTTGCAAAACAAAACATAAAACTCAACAGGGGAAAAATGTGGATGGGTGTTGAAAACTGCTCTCAGGAAGCTGTTTAATTTAAACTTCAAGTATTCAGTAGCTATTCAATTTGGTTCAGTTAGCTCATTTTAGTTTCATACAAATGATATAACCTCATCCAGTCAAAACAACCATAGCATAGAAACAGTGACTGCAATTTGGAATTGAATTTTTGATTTAGTCTAAATAAATATATAAATTACACTCCCAGTGATTACATTTAGTACAAGGGATACTGTAGAAGTCTGTTAGCCTATTTAGACATACACTCTCTTAAAAATCAACTAAAAGTAAACAAATCATTGTATATTTTAAACTGAATTTTAAATTATTCTTACAATTTATGAATTCTTGAGATTTTAATTTTCTGAAATGTGTGTCAAGTTTCTGAGCATCAAAATCATTTACGAACCTTTAATTTAACTGTTGATATAAAAACTGAAATAAACCGGTCTGGTTTATAAAAGTTTTTTTGAGATAATACACAAATAGTAAATAGAGGAAAAGAAGAACTAAAGAAATACAGTTTAAAGTCAGTAAAAACTTTAAAATTATAAATTCTTCCCAGTCCATCAATGAAGCTGATGCCTGTAAGATTTTCTGCATCAAAGCTGCTTGGGCAGCAGGTGATTGATGTATGCAGTTACAGACTCTGTAATGCATTTCAGATGGCTCTGTTGATATGGAGACAGGAACTTTTAAATACCCAGAGAGGTGTGTAGTGTAGTAAGGTTCTGTGGACTAAGAGGGATGCAGGTTTCCTGTGTCCCCTGTAGCTGCTGCAGTGCACTGTTGTCCCTGGGCCTGCAGCCGTGATGAGTGTTGGCTGTGCCATGTTCTGGTTGTACACACTCCAAAATTCTCTCTGAGCTAATCCCAACAAACTCACTGTGTCCTTGTGCTGCTGCTGCTGAAAAGCAGGTGACCCATTTCAGAGAGTAATTTGCTATGTGAGGCTTCGTTAGAAGTAAACCTCTAATCACTTTGTTTAATGTCCCCACAGGTACCGGAGCTTAAAACATTTCAACTATGATGTCTGTCAGAGCTGTTTCTTTTCTGGCCGCACAGCAAAGGGGCATAAATTGCATTATCCAATGGTGGAGTATTGTATACCTGTAAGTACCAATTTTCTCAGTGTTTCTAATGGATAATAACCCAGATCTGAGGTCTAAATTTCTTTTCATAATCTTTAACTAGCCATGATTTATTTTAGATATGTTTAATATGGCTTGTCTTCCTACCTTTCTCTTTGGAAGGCATCAGGAACTTTTCAAGTTTTGTTGATTTTATGTAGGGAGTATTTGGATTCTATATAAATGGGTAGCAGTATCCACCTCTGAGAGAATTTAAACTTCACATCTGATTGGTAAAACAAAGCTTGAATATTAGAAGTAACTGCTGTTCTTGTATACTAACATATATACACACACGATAAGGGTGAGGACATGTCGGAGAAAAAGGACTTGCTTTACTATTGCTCTTCGTATTGCAAAGAGTATTTCATATTCTAGTAATGCACATTAATATTTTTAGGGGGCTGAGTTTTCAGGTCCAGCATTTCTTTGCTTCATGAAAATGTAGCTAGAAATAGACTGTGTTTCATTCTGTTGTGTAATTGCTATTTACTGGGATATATAAAAGTCAATGTATAGCTGGAAAAAAAAACTATAAACAGAATTGATAGGTTCTAACCAGAAATGGTGTGAGATGTTTATCAGCAGTAGCTGAAAAAGATTAATTTTATAACACTGTATTTTCCTAATGATGCTTCAAACACAATTTTTTAAGGAGATTCCTAGGAGTCTTTCTTAACTTAAGGAGTGGCTGTGTTGCCACACGAAAATAACACTCACGCTTTTTTATCAGATAGCTGTTTACAGTCAAGAATTTTACCTTAGAAATTAATTAATAGGATAATTCATATGTGCTCTACAGAACAGTGGTGAAGGGTCTGCATGTTCAGAAAAATTACATTCAGACCAGAATGTAACTAGAGATGATTCAACAGAGCCAATTTTCAATAGTGTTACAAGATTCTGTGGGTTCTTCTATTAGCAAAAGTTCATTGAGTTATTTGACTCTTTTGCTGTAGTTTTTGGACTTACTACCTGTGTTTTCCCTCTTTATTGTCTGGCGTGTCTCCTGTGATGGAATTCAAATTCTATTAAGTAGTGTTTTTACTTCATTATGGTCAGAAAAAAAATGAGTCATGTTAATGTATTTTCATTAATTCTATAACCAAATCCTAGGATTTTAATGATAAATTGGCATGTTAGGGAATACTCCAAAGAATATTTTTTAAGTAGATTTGTTGTTTTTTCAGCTGGTTTTAATGTTTATTATAATTTATCATATGACTATTCTAGCCTCAGGATTTGGAGCTCTATGATTAGACATTAATACTTTACTTTTTTTTTCTCCTTATAAACCTCACCTTTAAAGGAACAGAAATATTCTTTGTTAATGCCTGTATAATGCAGAAAATTCAGAAATTGAGTTGTAAGGGGTGTTGAAACAGATATTGCTGCTGGTCTGCAGGATAAGATATCCTTCCTGTTGAGTTAGTCAAATACAGGTTACATTTAGTGTGGGGTATTGTACTTTCCCTAGGACATGATGGTATATTTCTGATGAATTCCAGATTTTGTCTGAAGCAGCAGATTTCTTATCTAAGATGAGTTTTCAGCTCTTGTTAAACACATTCACACTGTGTAACCGTGAGCCATCTCATTTACAAGTAAAGGCTGACAAACTGAAAAACATATTCTGGAAATGGCTGGAGTCTTCTCTGTCCCTGGAAATAGGGATGGCTTATATTATAATGAAAATTTCTGTTACTGATGCAGAAAAAAATGTATTTTTAAAGCAATATTAGGTGTAAAATAAGGTTACATAAGGCAAAAGTCCCTTCTTTCCATGAAATACAGGAGGAATGAGGTGACTCCACTATGGGGTAATAAGGGGAGTAAAATTACATTCTTGATTAGAGTGAATGAATGAAGGCCAGTGTAAAAACAGGGAAAGGAAGGAAATTGGGGAAGTTTTAAGTAGAGCAGAAGAAAAGAAATGGCAGGTGATGCATAAAATTAGAGGTCCAGCACCAGCCTGGTTAATTTGGAAGCTGAATATGAAGAGCTGGAATTTTATTTGGGTCCTGATGTAAATACACTCTGCTATGACCATTTCTGTAAAAAGAAATGACCTGTTATATGAACAGACCTAGATGCCTGTTAGACTTTCATAATCAGTATCCATATGCAAGCTATTTTAACTAGCCTTATATGGTCTAGGTCTGGAATAAAGAATTTATTTCATTAAAAGAGTCCTGTACTATTTATTCTTACTATTTGTAATAATGCGCTGTGGTTGGTATACTAATTTGTTGTAAACCTCTCTACATATTGAACTTGTTAAATACAATACAGTAGTCAAGAATTGCAAAATTTTTTGCAGTTAGTAGGATAGCTTATATGTTTAAATGGAATAATGCCTGAAAAATAGCATAGACCAGGATCTGTGAAATAAAATAAAAGCACCAAAGGCCACTGAATTGTTCCTTAGAATCCATTATATAATGGATGAAGAGTGCATCCGTTCTGCCTTTTAACTGAATTCAAAGGCTGTTCATGTTAAAATGTTGCTTTCTTGGCTAGTGTTGAAAAGCATAGTACAAATGCATGTACTCTTCAAACTGCATTAATAAAATCTAGCCTCGCCTTCTTACTGCTAATGTGTATTAATACATTTTTATCAAGAATACTAGCAATAAATAGGTAAAAAAAAAAGCCTCCATTACATAAGATGACATTTAGAACTAGAACGTAGTCACAGATGGATGGAAGACCATTTAATTGTCTTCCGGTGAGCAGTTCCATGTAGAGTATAAAGGGATTTCTCAGAAGCACAACAAATTCTTACCAAATTTAAAATTATTTGGAGAATGGGTTAAGGAATATGTTCTCCATTGCAATTACTTTTGTGATATTTGCTTTAGGTAAGAATTGCTTCATAATTTCAGATTAGGACCATTTGCTCCTCATAGTTACATGTAGTTACTGCATTCTAATCTGTAATGCCATTTTACATTTGTCCTAGCTTGCAATTTAGTTTTCTTGATGCTGGGAAAAAAAAAAAAAAATCATTATAATAACTTCAGGTATGTCTTTTCTTTCATCCAGGATTTAGAGATGGGTGTGAGAAGCATGTGAAAACATAATTCTTTCTTAAGTAGTAGAAATGCAAAGTTGTTCTAGTTTATTCTTCATATTACATAACCTTTGTCTGAAAAGATGGAGAAATAAGGTTTTTAATGTAGAATTTTGCACAGATGTGTAAAAATATTGTTAGATTTTCTTAGCCTCTAATTTGGGAGTAGACCTACATAACTACCTATACAGTTTGTTTTTAGATTTTTTTGAATTGGAAATCCTCTCAATAGTGACACTTGTGTTATATTAATGTGGCTGGGCTTAATGACAGAATATATTAGGGAGATTCACATCTTCTCTGGGAATCAGTTTTTCTGTGTATATTAAAACAGCTAATTGGCTTTGTGTTAGCTATAATAAATGTAATTAAGAGAATGATGACTTAGATGCAGACTAATCCTTTTACATAGCTAGGTGCAGTGAGAGGAATAAGAACGCGGACTTTCATTTGAAAAAGAGAATAGTGAGAAGTAAATGAAATTTTATATATATGTATTATATGTATTCTATATTATATATTCATGTTTCATATATTTATTGTAATTCCTATATTATATGTTATGTAGTTCAGAGCTCCACAATTACTTTATTACAATCTTGGTATTATTTTTTTACCAATGAATACTTTTTCTATTTCCAATATACTGAAAGCATACACCAGCTGGGTTTTTAAGATATGTATGGAAAATGTTTTTCACCATGCTCATTTTTTTTCTACTGCTTTCCTAGTTTCTTAAATTTTTATTGGATTACAAGTAATTGTATCTTAGTTTGTTGCTTATAACTCTGTTTGTGCCTGGCTGCTGTATTGAAGAGTACTGATACCAGTTTGTCAATTGTTACGATTTTTTAGTTGTATATGGCAGCCATGGATATTAAATGTTTCTTCTTGAACTTTGTATTGCTCTAAGAACTGAGATTTTAAATTCAGTTTGAAGGCATCGTCTTTGTACTGAATTTTCAGTGAAGGAAAGTATTCTTTCTTTGATTTTGAAGTAGTTCTGTAGCAATGGTGCTGTTTGTACTATTGATTTGTGTGGAAATAGCCAAGATGTCATGATGTAAGGAAGTGTACAATGTGCCTGCCAGTTTTAATTTAGAAGACAGATTCTACAAAACAGTTCCTAGCTATTCTTTCTTTAAAGGAAAATATTATAGTGCATCTAACTTCTCCTGATTTTGGATTGGATTACATTTTGTGGTTATATGCCCAAAAGAAAAAAAAAATAGAAGACATTTTTCAGAGTTGCATTTTAATTACATGTAAATTAAAATAGATTCTTTCAAATCTGCTCAAATTGCACTGGTTAGTATTTGCAGTGTTCAGTGAGTATACAGTCATAATAGTCCTCTTTCCGAGAATCAGGTTGTCATACCAAATAAAGAATTCACCAGAGAAAAAGTCTGGCATTATTTCTACAATGTGTAGGTATTAAAACATTAATTCCTTGGCCTTGGGGCAGAGTTCCATCTGTTGAAGTAACTGTTGCATGAAAGAAAACAACCCTTTTTATGGTGCAGTGGTTGGAGAGATGCTTTTTGTGAATGATTTTGTGAACACTCCATGGATTCACTTTTATTAAAATTCAGGGGTTCAAATAACCCTTGGTCACAAATTTGCTCTGTTTGTTGTCTACTTTTTAAAGACACATATGAGAGGCTCCTACCAACACCATTTTATTTTACTATTTTTACTGTTCATCTGATATGCATTACAGAGTCTTTAACTGCATATATTATACATACATTAAAACATATAGATGAATATGGAAGTATTTTTAGGTTTTGACAGCAGAGAATAGTTTGCCTGACCTGCCTCTAGGCCTCTTTGTAGTACTTTGAGAAAAAGATGACAAATGTGAAGTCTTCCTATCTATTTTCCACATGGTTGTCTATTGGCTTTGGCATCCTTTGATGCTAACAGACTTCTCCTGAAGCAGAGGGTACAGAAATGCAATTTGTAGTTTGTTACAGAGCCTGGACTGGAAGTCTGTAAAAGCTGTTGCAAATCTTCAGGTAATTCTGGAGGTGCTTTCTTTACTGCAGTTGCAGGAGAAAATGCTCAATAGTCCTGGTTGGAAGGGGATGTTCTGTTGAAATACTCAGCACAGTGTGTGCACATACACTTAAAAGGCAGACTCTATACTATTGTTTCTTCCTGCAGATCTCTTTATTGCCATTTTTGCCTTGTATTTTATGCCTGTATGTATCCCTGATTTTGTGGCAGAAGTTAGCTGAATAATGGCAGTAGTGCTGCCATTATTGCTGTGATTATCACTAGTTAAAGGCATTTTTAAAAGTAGTTGAATAAATTTTAATTTTGTTCTCAGGACAGGGTGATGGGCAGGGAGGGAGCAAAGAGGGATGGGACCAAACATTTACCAGTTTTGGAAGAAATTGCATCAGTCAGGACCAGAAAAAAAGGCTGCTGGGAGAGATGGACGATGTTGATTGTAACTTGTAAATTTCGACTTGTAGAATCTTATGGGTAGTCTGTGTCCTAATCTTACTCTGTGGTAGTAAGGAGACCACTGAATCAGAGTTTGTTACTTCAGCCACCAATTGTTCTTATCAGGCCTGCCTGTGCTTTTGAGCAGTGCCTGTACACTGGCCATGACTTCATCAGTGCATTTTTTTGACTGTGGAATATTACAGGTAGTGGCGGAATCCTATAGGAAGAGATTTGGTAACTGGAGAAAAAGCTAATGAAAATATTGTCTGGTGCAGCAGAGAATGGTTTAGCACATACCATTCCTATCTTGTGGTAAAGTTTTTTATTGTAGGTCTAGTAT